ATCCACCCCGCTGCTTGCCCTGTGTGTCCGGCCTACGTAGGCTGCTGCCTCAGGCCCTCTGAGCGCTCATCCCACAGCTGGGTGTTAAGGGAGAAAATTCCTACAGGGAATGGAAAAGTACCGGGGTGTCGGGGTGCCGTCCAGCCAGGCGGGCGTCGCGGCATGGCACGACATGACACAACGCGACACGATGCGACACGACGCCGGCGGGAGCGGGCCGGGTACGGCCCCATGTACCCAGGGCGTGTTGGGACAGCCGGGCCCCGCCGCCACATACGAGTTTTTCCACTTCCAGGCCTTTCGCCAGCTGCGAGGACCAAGAGTACAAACACTCCAATTACATTGAGGGGGGGTAGGGAGAAAAGAAAAAAAGGAGGAAAAAAAAAAAAAAGCTGTGTGGACATTAATATTCCACTCTCGGCCATGGGGCTCCTGCGTTTCCCTCTGTCCAGAGCCGATTCCTCTGCCGATAGCAAGGGAAACGTTTTCTCCTGTGCAGAGACTCAGACCAGCACATGACCAGCGAGAGGCAGCAGTTTATTTAGCTCCCAGAGTTTATTTTAATTGAGGCCTTGCTTTGTAAGGAGCGCCGAGGCGGCAGGGGGAGCCTCCCRGCATGGGGGGAGCCGTTCCGGCGGATTTTCCTTATCAATAAAAATACGTCTGGTCTATTTAAGTGAGCAAGGAGCGGATGGGCTGCGCACTTGGCTGCTCTGATTTCTTGGAAGTTAAGCTGACACGTTTGCTTGTTAAAGSTTTGAGCGGCTGCTGGTGACACAGAGGCAAGGACTGCCTGGTCGGTCCTCCGAAGTGCTCCGACCTCAGCGGGGAAGGAAGGAGAGAGGGACAGAGCCGGGCGTTTGTGCTGACAGGCAGAAAACGGCCCCTACACTCGAGTAGTTTGTTGTGATGATGCACAAGAAAAAAAAAAAAAGAAAAARAGAAAAACCATGTGATTTCTATGCAAATCAGATGAATGGACGGTTAAAAAAGCCCTAAATGTCAGGTAGATAAGATCACATACACCTAGAGCAGTGTCATGATATTCTTTGTGCGTTACATTCATACTGGAAACCAGAACGTGTTACAGAAATCAGACACCCACAAAAAGCTCAGCGATTGCACTGAGAACAGGTTCCAGCAAAGCACCGGCCTCTAACAAAAAAAAAAAAAAAAAAAGTAGGTTAGATTAGAAAACAAGATAATTCAATTGAACCAGGGAATACAGTGTCCCCATGCAGCGTGCAGCCTGTCCTTCGTGCATGTACATTATTATGCACGAAACTCCTTTTAAGTAACATGGGTGCTGGAGCACCCGGCTCTGAAAATGACAGGCTTCCCCAGGCTGCTCCGATAGCCCGTCCTTGGGGTCGGGGGAAAAGCCAGAGGGCCTTGGATTTAAGGTTAAACTTCTGTGCCTCCGACAGATTTTCCAGAAGTCCTGGCAGCTGCTTCCTGTGGCCACAGGGAAGCCTAGTGGCCCGAAGGAGTTAATTCCAAGCAGAAAAAAAAAAATTATAATGGGTCTTTGTTTATTTAAACAGTGTTCCGTGACCAGCGCTTTCCAGAGGTACACTTTACCTGGAAAGAATAAGTGTTTGCATCTCTAACGTGTGAAATCCCGCTCCTGTGGGGATGCACAGCAGCACAGCCCAGGCTCTCTCATCGCTGCGGATCAATATGTGCAGCTCCGAGGGCTTTAAATACAAAATCATGGCTGTAAAGGACAGCTAAATTTTCCCACCGCTTTGCAGCCCTCGTGCTGCCGTGCAGGGAGAGGCTGCTCTCCACGTGAGGAGCTCCCTGGGGGGAGATGGAGAGCGGCCCCTGCCTCGGCCTGCTGCACCCGAGGCAACGTGGGGTCCTGCTCCGGCCCCTGCACCTCTGTGCTGGGGGCCAGGGGGGCAGCAAAACTTTGCCAAACTCCCACGAGGCTGTTTCCAAGCAGAGCGTCCCCCTGACACCATTCCCATCCTTGCAAGGCCAGGCAGCAGCCTGGGCTTAAAACGCCAGCTGGGCCCGGAGCTGCTGCCTTGGCTTTGCACGGTACCAGCGCAGGTTTAAAGCAGGGGCCTTTGGGACGGGTCCCTGCAAGATCCCTGGCACCGAGCATGGCCCTGGCCAGCGGCACGAAGAGGGGCAGCAAGGGGTGATGGCTGAGGCTGAAGGCCAATTATCAAGCACAGAAACCTCAGCTGGGGCACAGAGGATGCTGACAGCAGCCCCCCAACTGCCCCCTGGGGACCCTCCCGGCACAGTAGCCATCTACCCTCCCCTAAAAGAAGCCACCTGCACCCCCAGGGGTTGCCCCCAACCTGCGCCCTGCAAAGGGACACTGGCTGCCCAGCTCCCTTGCGCCTTACCGAGCTGCAAGGCCGAGCAGCCTGGCAATCCTCGGCCCTGAGCAGGGCTAAAATGGGACTGAGAAGGACGGGTGACGAGGCCTGGTCCTGCTTGGCACTGAGCCCTCCAGGCATTGGGAGAATGTGAAATGCCCCCTTCGCCAGCACCCTAAATCCCTCCAAGGAACCCAGCAGCTTCCTACAGCGCCGGGGCCACGGGAGGCTGCGGCCAGGCCGCTGGTTCCGCAGCAGGGAGGAAGAGGATAGGTTCAAATGCAAAGCAGGAGAAAGGCACAAACGGGCAGGCCGGGCAGCGAGCTCCCGGCCCCAAGGCGATGCCTGCGGCCGGTTTACAAGCCCCAGTAAACAGCGGGCTAGAATGGAAACTGTGATGCAAGCCCGCGTCTGGCATGGCGGGACGGAGCGAGAGTCTCCTCCGTGACAGCGCTGCTGATCCAGATGTCGTGATCACCCTTGGAGTGCCGCAAAAAAAAAAAAAAAAAAAAAAAAAAAAGATCCACCAACCCCTCTACCTCCTCCCTAACTTTCTGCAAACATTGCATTCGACCAGGCACACGATCCAGCTAAAACGAAAGCGCCAGGCTGCAGAAAAAGACAAACAGAAAGGATCTCTCTCTCTCTTTTTTTTTCCTCTTCCCTTTAATTTCATTGCTGTAAATAACAAAATCCCGGAGGGCAGTTTATATTATTTGCTCCATTATTTGGTCGTTTACAAGCTAGCTGCTCTGCAAGCGCCTGCAGAGGCACCTTCCCGGTGCCCGGATCCGACAGCCAACCAGACCAAGCCCCAGCTACTCACTTGGAGTTACATATTGCTTTTTAACCCCGGGAAAGACGTCTTTCAAGCATATCTGTACATCTCAAGTGTCTCAGTAGCAGCATTTCTATCTCGCCACTGGGCTATTTTTAATGACGAGTTGCATTAGCAGCACGGCTTTCTTCCTATTTTTCCCCCCCGCCTTGCTTCAAAGCAGGTTCTGAGCGTTTCCGTTCAAGAGCTCTGCTGCGAAATAGAAAATAAAAGCAGCGCAAAGCGCGCGGCTCCTCGGCGCGAAGGTCGCACACGTCGCGGGGCTCGCGCCTAATCGAATCAGTGGCTCTGAGCAGTTGTATTAGCCGGATCGAGGGCACCGTGACCCGCGGGGGTTATTCTTGTAAACACATTTCTATTAATTGCCACGGCGCGGGAACACCAGCGCGCGCCCTCCCCCTGCTCTCGGCAAGGCCGGCGCGGCCGGGAAGCCGAAGGGAGGAAAACACCCGTGACTCCAACGCGGCCGCTGTGCCCGTGGCAGCCGCGCTGCTGCAGGCCCGGCCGGGCAGCACCAACACGCAGCGCTCGGAGCCGCGATGCACAAACGCGAGCAGAGCCGCGTCCACGGATTGACATCGAGGATGGCAATAACGCGGCCGGCTGCTCCCTTCTCCCTCCTGCCCCTCAGCAAAGCCACCCGCAATAGGGAGCGGGGGGACTTGGCGTTTTCGCCCATGTCCAAAGCCTCCTCCAGCGGCCGGCGCAGGCCCGCGCCCGCCTCGGCGGCCAGCGCRGGCTAAAACTGCTTAAAAAATAATAAGAAAGAGCGAACGAGAACACCGCCTCCCCCCATCTCGCAAGGAAAACCAAACACAGTTTTGCATACGAGCATAGTTAGACATTTACATACAAACAGAGGAATTCGGGCATTTACAAGCTGCTCGCAGGCTACTTTGCAACAAAAACAACAGCGACGATGATGAAGAATTCACCCACCACTTAAGCGTCCTGGAAAGAAAAAAAAATGGAAAGAGAAAAAATGATAAAAATGAAAAGTGGATTTTTTTCCCCCCCCCGAGAACGAGCATACTTCTGTCCTTAATGCAACGCCAAAAATAAAAATATAAAAAAAGAGGGAAAAATAAAGGGGGAAATGCAGCACGGGGTGGGAGGAAAAGGGGTTGATGGTTTAAGGAAAAAGCTTCTTTCACCGACAGTAAATCCCTTCTAAGACCATGACAGCCGAGTATGGTTACGTATGTAATAATAATGATTGAGGAAAAAGCAAAAATCCAGTGCAATGCAGCAGGATCCCAGGGTCGTTTTCTTTGTGATATTTAAAAAAAAAAATAATAAAAAAAAAGAAAAATAAAATACGAAAGAGTTGC